GAACCCCTTCAAACCCCATACAGAAATGGGCACACCCCCCTCTGGCACCCCCTTGATGAATCTATTTTAAAGGGGATGGCGCTGAAAAAGTGGTCACTTTTTTAACACCATTTCTCAAATGAAAACATATTGACCGGAGATTTTAACTTTAATTATGATCCATTAACACATAATGTCTACTAATAACACTTCTTGGAATAACATTACTAACAGTTTCAATTTGAGGCAGCTAGTTGAAAAACCCACCAGAGTAACTCAAACATCAAATACAATTATAGATCATCTATATACTAATTTCCCGAACAATATCTCTGAAATCAATGTACCTGATTTATCAATCAGTGATCATTTTCCAATCTGCTTCACACGCAAAATCTCAACAACTGCTATCAAAGACCCTTTACATCAAATTATTCAATACCGAAATATGAAACAATTTGATGAAAAACATTTTCTTGAATCTCTTGAACAGCAGCCTTGGTCAGTGTTAGAAATATATGATGACCCAAATGATGCTTTGGATTATTTTAACTCTTTATTCAATCAAGTATTAAATGCTCATGCTCCTCTTAAAAAGAAACATGTAAAACATATGCATCTTCCAGACTGGTACAATCCTGATATTCTTCATGCTTCTAAACAAAGAGATAAAGCTAAGAAATTAAATAACAATGAAGAATATAAATATTGGAGAAATAAAGTTAAAAATCTAATCTCACATTCCAAAAAAAATTACTATTCAGAAACTATAAATAACAATAAACACAATGCAAAAGAAATGTGGAAAAATCTCAAACAATTATCAGGAAAATCTACAAGTCACCAAACAATTATATTCAAGATGAAGAAGGAAATCAAATCAAAGACCCATTAAGAACAGCCGAAGTATTTAATGACTATTTCATTGATATCTTTAAATCTGCACCTGGATATTGCTCAACTTTATCACATGAAGATGAAATAAAATTGCATGAGTATATTGAAATGCATTCAAAGGATAAATGCCCTTTCAACATACCTGAAATTACAAGTCAATTCATAAACAAAGAACTACAAGATCTTGATATCAGAAAGTCAACAGGTCTAGATGGTAGAGGAGCCAAATTTCTTAAAATAAGTTCTAAAATTATATCCAAGCCTTTGGAAAAAATATTCAATCTCAGTCTATCAAGTGGCTTAGTTCCTTTCGCCTTTAAGCAAGCAAAAGTTACTCCTATACATAAAAAGGGCAACAAAAATGAAAAAGGTAATTACAGGCCTATATCAATACTACCAGTTCTATCGAAAGTTCTAGAAAGACATGTTAGCAATCATCTTAAGTTATTTCTTGAAACTAACTCTCTTTTTCAGCCAAATCAGTCTAGCTTTCGCACAAATTATTCATGCGAAACTGCTCTTACTTCAATTATTGACAGCTGGATCAGAGCAATAAATGAAGAAAAACTTATAGGGACTATATTTCTTGATCTAACAAAAGCATTTGATTTGATCAATCATAACCTATTATTGAAAAAACTACAACTGTATAACATAAATGAAAATTCAATTTCATGGTTTAGGTCATTATACCTAAGTGATCTCTCACAACAAGTATGTGTGTCTGGAAAGTATTCTGAAGCTCAGCATATAAAATCTGGTGTGCCTCAAGGTTCAGTTTTAGGCCCTCTCCTTTTTATTAGCTCACCTGTCACTTTGTGACAGGGAGAGCTTTTGTAATCGCTTTTCGTCTGGCATCCGGCATCCGGCCGGCGTCCGTAAACTTTAACTTTAAATGACATCTCCTCATAAACCGCTGAGCCAATTTCATCCAAACTTCACAGGAATGTTCCTTTGGTGGTCACCTTTAAAAATTGTTCAAAGAATTTAATTCCATGCAGAACTCTGGTTGCCATGGCAACCAAAAGAAAAAACTTTAAATATCATCTTCTAAAAAACCAAAAGAGCTAGAGCTTAGATATTTGGCATGAAACATCTTCTAGTGAGTGTCTACCAAGTTTGTTCAAATAAAAGCCCTGGGGTCAAAATTGGCCCCGCCCCAGGGGGTCATTGATTTTCCCTATATGTATATAGTAAAAACTTTAATAATCTTATTTTAAAAAACCCAAAGAGTTAGAGCTAAGATATTTAGCATGAAACATCTTCTAATGGGTGTCTACCAAGTTTGTTCAAATAAAAGCCCTTGGGTCAAAATTGGCCCCGCCCCAGGGGGTCATTGATTTTTCCTATATGCTTATAGTAAAAACTTAAAATATCTTCCTTTAAAGAACCCAAAGAGCTAGAGTTTAGATATTTAGCATGAAACATGTTCTAATGGATGTCTACCAAGTTTGTTCAACTAAGAGCCCTGGGGTCAAAATTGGCCCCGCCCCGGGGGACATTGATTTTCCTTATAATTATGTGTATAGCAAAACTTAAAAATCTTCTTGGAAATAACCCGAATAGCTAGAGTTTAGATATTAAGCATGAAACATCTTCTAGTAAGTGTCTACAAAGATTGTTCAAATAAAAGCCCTGGGGTCAAAACTGGCCCTGCCCCAGGAGTGTCATTGTTTTTAAATACTAGTATATGTGTAAAGAAAAAACTTAAAAAATCTTTTTTTTTAAAACCCAACAAGCTAGACCTTAGATGTTTAGCATGAAACATCTTCTAATGGGTGTCTACCAAGTTTATTCAAATAAAAGCCCTGGGGTTTAAACTTGCTCCGCTCCGGGGGGCTTATATACAGGTGAGCGACTTCAGGGCCATCATGGCCCTCTTGTTATTTATATCAATGACTTACCTTTGCATTTATCACATTCTACATCAGACATGTTTGCTGATGACACTACAATTACCTCATTTGGACACAGTATCAATTTAATTTGTACAAAACTTCAGTCTGACCTTAATTCAATTAATTAGATATCAGAAATTCCACAAATTTACAGTCGTTCAAAAATAATTATCTTAAATGGTGGTTCTCTGGTGGGAATAAAACACATCAAGTTGTATTATAAAATGATAAATGTATATCTGAATTGCAATGATTATATTCTTATATAATGTTTTTTTCCCTAGATTTTCATTTTACATGTTTCTTAACTACATTGTACTAGTATTTGTAATTTTGTTGTTGTTTATCATACCTTTTGTTTGTAAATGTTTATATTATGTACATTGTATATTTGATAGAGGCTCATAGGGAGGACTGGGCATGCCCAACTATGTTGCCTCTTTAAATAAAGTCTTTATTTTTATTATTATTATTATTATTATAACAAGTGTTTTGGGTCGAAATAAGGCGTTTTTTCACTATTTTAGGCCTCAAAAAGGGGGGGGGGGAAAGGTTGAAAAGGCGTGAAAAGACGTTTATATGAAGTAATGGGTTAAATGATATTGATTACATAACAAAAAAATGATGATATAAAATAACAATATTGTCTACCTGTTTATAATTTAGATACCATAAATGTTTTACCTAATGATGAAATACAATTTGTTATAAAGGATCAAATATTCTGATCAAACAACTCAGTTCCACACTGGGACTCTTTTATCACTTTTATTGTTAATTCAAATCTAAAAACACATTATTTTGACAAGTCAGTCATCATTCTTTCGAACCCACTGAGGAAATGAATTTATATAAGTCTTGGACTTGTTTTCAAATCCTCTTCCGAATTTAATTATAAGTTATTAATTCTTCAGCATTGTTTACCTCTACATTTATATCTTCAGTCTCTCATGATTCTTGTTATACAATGTCTTCTGGTTGTAATGTATATCTATGTTTTGTAAATTCTGGAAATAATATTGTTTAAACTAAAGTATTTTGGAAACAACTAGGACACTTTATTGTATGATCTCTTAATTATGACTTTGATACTGGACTTATGTCCATAACTCAGAGACAGGGAATTATAATCTGCATACCAAAGGAAAATAAACCATGTCATTCCTTAAAAAAATTGGAGACCCATAACTCTCAAAATAATATTAGTATGTAAAGTTGCATCAGGTTCTATTGCAAATAGGTTAAACTAGGACACTTTATTATATAATCTCTTAATTATGACATCATTAGTAAAGAACAAACTGGCTTTTTAAAGGGAAGATTCATTGATGAAAACACTAGATTACTTTATGATATTATGCATTACTTAGATGGAAATAATTTACCTGGTCTTCTTTTGCTGATTGATTTTGAGAAAGCTTGTCTTGACAATTTTGCCAAAAACCTTAGACATATTTAACTTTGGTGATTCAATTAAAAAATGGATAAAAGTATATTATAACAATATTGATTCATCTGTTATACAATGTGGTTTTCTTTCAACTTTTTTTTTACAATTGACTGTACCTTATATTTTTATGCTATGCACAGAAATTTTAATCAGAAAAATTAAGCAAAACCAAATCATTAAAAGTATCAATGTTGGTGGCATAGAACATATTATATCTCAATATGCAGAAGATGCTTCTTGTCAGGTGAGTCCATTAATGAAACAATGAATTTGAATAATTGTCAAGACATTCAGGACTTAAAATAAACTTTGATAAATCTTGTGATAACTAATATACCACCTATTCTATAAAAACAAAATTTAAAATTGTAGACAATCACAATTCAAACTTCTTGGCATTCCATTTACTTTCATCTAGATCTACAAAAATGGTTGAACTAAATAACAAAGAGAAAATTTAAAAATTAGAAACTAATAAAATTTTGGAATAGCAGATATTTTTGAGTGAAGGTCAAATTATGTCTGTCTGGTTAACTTGAAGGTCTATATTATATATCCTAAAAGATTATTATGTTCAAGTTTGAAGATTATCCATTCAAAAATAAACAAGCAAAATTTAGACATTTGACCTTGAAGGTCAAGATAACGCCACATAATACCTTTTTTTTCTTTCAAAAAAAAAAAGTTGGAAAAAAGTCAATCTTGGAAATTAAGTGCTGCCGTAGAAGGAATTTTGGTAAGTTAAACTTGAACAAATAATATGGTTATTTTTTCAGGCTGGAGTTTTTGTTTCCAGGTCATCGGTACAGTTGTTTACAGTGACGAAAGTTCATATACTGTCTGTATTACAGTTTATCAATATGATGTTATGGATAGTTGATGTACATGTATGTATTTAGTTTAAAGTAAAATTTTATGCAGCTCATTAGAATAATCCAAATAATCCATTATTATCAATAATTATTCCCGCTGATAAAATAGAAAGTTCGATATTGAGATGGAGTTGTCCTTGCCGGGTGATCCATTAAAAAATATCAGTTAGTTTCATCAATATCCAACAAGGGTTTTTTAGCTCACCTGAGCTAACCTTGCTTATGGTTATCTATTGTTGTGGTGATGAAAAAATGTTGTTTATTAGCTGTTTCTTAAAATAGAAGTAGGCCTTGATCCCACTTGACACCATTGTTGTGGTGTTGAAAATTCAAAGCTACTTGTTTCTATGAGTAGAATTTAGTTACTTATCACCTAATGTTCTTAGTTTGCTCAGGAGTACTCTTTAATGAGATAAATCTAATCGTCAGGATGACACCAACCTTTGAATGCAAAGGGAAATAAAACACAAATGTTGAATAGATTGAAATCAACCAAATTTTTAATGAACTAAGTTTTTATTTACACTTAACTAAAAGTTACTTAAAACTAAACAAGTTGACAAAATGTACTTTAATATAAAATGTTTGTAATTAACCAAAAATATGATAATCAAAATAAACTAGTGAATAAAAGATTTGAACCAGTTGAAAGTTGTTTAAAAAAATATTAACTGAAAATATGAAAAATAACCTTTATTAAACTTATGAATAGTAGCAAGCCCTGTTTTAATCTATATCAACAAAAATTTAGATCTAATAATTCAAGATGGCTGCTACTTAAAACCAATATAAGATATTAATTAATCCTAATTAATTCTGTAAAAACACTGTTGTACAGCGTCCACCGGATATAGCCCCTAAAAACACCGAAAACGAAAGTAGAAAGCTGCACACCGAGTACGACTAAGGTAATGTTTTAACTTATTTCTTCATCATAACTTCATCGATTTTTCCAAACTTGAAACAATATTGTGAAGCTAAATGTTTCTAGTTTTAGAGCAATATTTGCTTTTGTCTGCAAATTGAATACTTTTTGTAAACTTGGCAATAAAATGTAGTGTATTTGTTGACATTTGCTAACGATGTTGATATTTACCACTAAATCAAGCCCAAAACGCATTTGCTGTATCGAATTCCGCCGTTAATACAAACTATTGTCATCCCTCTAATTATATTTGAGTTTTCACCCTTCAACTCGTGGTGCTTTTAACAAAATTTGCGAAAAACGATTTTGCCTTGTGTACAGAGTCTAGCACAGATGTGTACGGGGTGTACAGTTGAGTTCACACTAAACTTCCCACCCTTGTGCACTTCTAGTGCACTAGAGCTGAACTAGAAGTGCACACCCGTATTTAACAGTAAGTGTAAAATAATACCCCTTAAAATCAAATTTATAGAATTAATAAGGTTATTTGTAAATAATAAATATGCTCCATAATGGATATTTAAATAAGTGTTTTTAAAGCTTAATGGCCATGCATTTCAACTTTTCTAGTGTACAAATTGGAAAATCTGATAATTCTGGCCTAATTAATCTAGTTTGTAACAACATAAACTTTTTTTTCATAAGCTCAAACAAATCAAGGAAAGGTTTATATTTAAGCTAAAATATTATTTCTATAATATATAACTTAGAGATAATTCCTCATGTTGAATATTGAAAGAGAATATTTAAAAAAAAAATCAATATACTGTGATAATTTAGTATTCAACTGTGTAATGCTTGCATATGTTTTTAAAGATATAAATAATTAAAATATTATCAATAAAATAAATAAATTTGATAACTTTATACATGATTTCAATTTTAAAAATTTAATGTATAAGGGGAATTACTTTAATTGAAGAGGAAATCTCAAGTCATCCTGTTGTATTGAGGAACTGTTTTATTATACAACTCTCCTGCTGATAGGAGAGCCTCAGGGTAAATAACAAAGAACAGTCAATTTTGCAGATTATAAGTATGCATTGAAATTCCCTTGTTTTCTCAAAATGCATATTTAGACATTAGCCTGGGATTCATCAGGCGTTGGATCCCAAGCTTAAGTTTAGTCATATAGATAAATGACCATAATTTTGTATGGTCAAATATACAAAAAAAAAATCAAATGGCAGAATGCGTATTAGATATATTATTGTCTCTAAAGCGGAATTTCTATATTTATTCATTTATCCACATTTCTTCCCATTCTGAATAATAATAAATAACTTAAGAGGACATTCCTGATGTTCAAGATTGAAAGAGAATATTAATTCATTAATTTTAAAACAATCCATACACTGTGATATTATGTTTTTCAACCATGAAATGCTTGCATTCTTTTTAAAGATATAAATAATTAAAAAATTTCCATGAAATGAATAAAATTGATAACTTTATTCAAGATTTCTATATTAAAGCTTTAATGTATAATGACTATAATGTTTGTATAATCAGATGTAAAAAATAATCACAATGGCATAAACGCATGTTAGATATTATTGTCTTTGAAGTGGAATTTTCTAATCTTATCATAAAAAACTGGTTTAATATCAATATCAGTGTTAACTATTCTAGAAAGACCTTATATCAATATTTATCCACATTTTTTTGCAATTCTGCATTAAAATTTTCAGCATCTATTAGTTTCTGAACTCGGAAATGTTAATTTTTTCTATTATAGATTTGACAAATTTGCCTTGTCAGTCTTAACACATTTAGAAGATAATATATTTTAAAGAAAATATTTAAAATACATGATTATAAAACCTTTGCAACCTCCTTTTGTATCTTTAATGCAGATCTGTATTTTTTTTTTTTTTTTTTTTTTTTTTTTTTTTTTTTTTTTTAATAAAATATCATACATGAGCAGAAAGACAGTTTACAGAAGATTAAAGTGTCAAAAGTCATGCTGTGTATTGGTGTTTAATATAGTACCCTGCTGATAAGAGAAGCCCCTTAGGGTAAATAACAAAAGGCAGATGATAAATATAAGTAGGGCAATTGTAAATTCTGTATGTGCAAATAAAATTTCATTACAAGTATTTTACCAAAAAGAAAAAGAAAAACTGAAATATTTTAGCCATTTTATAATTTGAAGTCATAAAAATTATCATATTGCATAATGTATGTTACAATGCATGAAAAAAAAGATAAAAGATTGGTGTTGTCTCAAAAAATGTAAATGAAAAGATTTTCTAATCTTTTTGTTAATATCCATGTCAGTTAAAATATACTAGTGTCCCAACAGGTAAACATAATCCACTTAATCCACAATTCATACATATCCACCATTATATGTAAATTATTTTTATTTTCAGAATAATATATATCATTTATATTAATCTTAGGTAAATCCTTGCGTTTGAGAAGGTAAAGAGAGATTTAAATGAGATAAAATTGACAAAATTTAGGCCAATTATAAACAATATTTATTCCCTTTAATGTTTAAAAGGCTATTAATTGCTTAAAATCATAACCTTTAACTAAAACAATTTTATAAAATAAGATAAAAAAAACTAATTTGTATAATTGCCCCCCCCCTCCCCCCCCAAAAAAAAAAAAAAACAACAACAAAAAAAACAAAAACTGAATTTTTTTCCTTTTAATTTAGCATTTCAACGTTTCATAATTATTTCATTACCAGATATATTTAATAAATAGAATCAAAATTTTTAAATATCAATTACTTTTGTTTATTTATGCACTTAACTTATTAACATTAAAGTTATAATCTATTTATATTTTACTTATTCTAACAATTAAGTTATAAAGTACAAAAATCAGTAAAAATTAATGACTTTGAACAATATTGTTCTAATATTTTATGCCCATATTTTACAAAATACAAATATTCACAAAACTTTCAAAATTTATTATGAAAAACGATTATACAAGATATCTATATTTTTTTTTATCTTTTTGTAAAAGTCAAAAATTGTTATTCATGAAATAGTAGGTAAACTGCTTAATACATATTATAGTCTGGGGTGCACTACAAAGTGCACTTATGTAGTGCACATAGATAGTGCACTACTAGTTGCACTTTGTAGTGCACTCCTAGTGCACTTTGTGTAACCTTTAGTGTGAACTCAACTGTAGATGAAAAATGTTAGCAAGTGTATGAGGTATAGTTGGTAAACGAATGTCATTTTTTGCAAAATAAATTAAATATTTAATTAATTAACCTTAGAGAGCTTTTAGGGTTGTTACTTTTCCAAAAATTAGCAGCAGAATGACAAAATTGTGTAAAGTGCCTGTATTTATGCACACTTTGGGAACCAGAACTTTGTGTGGAACCAGTAAAATGCAGAACTGCTCTGATTGGTCAAGCAATTTTAGCCAATCAGAGCTCATTAGGGCTTTACATAACTATCCTAAAAATAGATTCTGATTCATGGAAAATTTTGCAACAGTATCAATTGACCATGATTATAAAATAATAAAGTAATAAACTTTTACAAAAATATTTTAAACAATAAAACTAGAAACTAATATCAAACTAAACATTATTTACAAACATATATAAATGCTAAATCTGTAACTTTTATCTAACTGAGTTTTAGGATCAGAGTAAGTGAATAAATGAAGAGTCTTAGGCCATGCTAAGTTACTGTTAAAGAGTGTTCAAAGTTTCTCAGACTATAATCAACATTAAACTTATATGAATGATATAAAGAATGAAATGTCTGTAAAACAATACATGTTGATATAATTAAACTTTAAAATAAACTTAAATTTAAGTCAAGACGTTTTAATCCTTAATATTTTCTTCAAAAATATATTTATGAAGATTATATATGCATACTTCTTGGGTAATATTAGTTAACATTATATAATGATTGAAAGCTAATTGTAAGTGGAATCCAACTTACAACAATAAATAATAAGTAACAACCCATTTTGGAAAAAAAAAAGAAAATTATGCACGAAGCAATAATTTCAAGATAAAACATTAACTTAAATTGTATTAAAGCATACCTCAAAAGAAAAAGCATATTATCATCATCAAAAATTTCATGCAATATAAATATGG